GTTGCTCGATGCCGTCCTGCTGGCTCAGAGACAGCAGCACGTACGCCCGGCTGCCTGCGGGCGACACGGCGGGACACGCCCTCAGCGCCTGACACTACTCAATAACAGATCAATAGTCGTTCCAGGAGGCACTGGCCCATACGCACACATTTATACTTTAAACCACTTACACTGTCAGCAGGGGGAGGAGCCAGGAGGGTGGAGGCAGTGTTTAACAGGGGCTTAAAACATCTGATCAACTTATTAACTGATTTTTTCAGACCGTGTCAGAGTAAACGCGGCATCAGGCTCGACCGCGTTAGCGCTCAAAGCTCTCAGCTCTGAGGTGAAGACGAACGAATGAGGCGGAGCTTTAAGAGACGTCGAGCAGCTGAACACAGAATAAGCCTGAAAGAATCAAAGCTTTAGACAGATGTGGACCAGAGTCCATTCATAAAAACGCTCATTTTAGCCCGAGTGTGGAGCTGCTGCTGATTGGCTGCCTGCACCGACGAGTGCGTTTCTGGACCCTGACCGTAACAAGTGACAGGACACACACTTCAACGTGGCGGACGTGTAGACAGAGATAAAATAGTTTGTCAAAAGCTCCAGTGACTGCTCGGCTTCACGCTGCTGCGATTACCATCAGTGATTAGAAGATTACTGAGCGAGCACGATCACAGCTTATTGATTATTAATCATCAGCACCGTTCTATCAGAGTACTGATCATGTGACAGCAGGGAGAAGAGCAGCTTCCCAGGAATCTGAACACACACAGTCAAACAGGTTTACTGCAGCGGCGCCCCCTGCTGGGCGGGGCCACACAGGCAACATAAAGATCAAAGTACTATCAGAGTACTGATCATGTGACACGCGTTGATGTCATCGACTGTTTCAGAGGGAGCAGGGTACGCCAGGACTCCCTCCTCCATCAGTACGGGAGTTCAGAGATTCTCAGAACATGAAAACTTTCTTCTTCTGCTCCGACTCCAGCTCTGACGTGGAGAGACGTGAGGAGCAGTGTTGCTTCTCCAAGCAGGAATCAAACTGCTCCACGCCTTTGTGGCGTGTAAACATGGCTGCTGTCCCTGCCTGAGGCCTGTTTAAAGGTTTGAGTCATCACCCCTCGACGCTCAGGCGGCTTCTCCAAAGTCCAGATCTAAATCTTAAGGCGACCACAATCTCGGCGTCTTAACGTCAGCTTCACGCTTCCGTCTTTGATCATTCTGCTAACCTCGGCCTGCACGCCTCAAACGGCCAGCCGCGGTGACACAGTACTCTGAACTTCCTACCCAGTTTTTTCTCGAGTCAGCTGAACATTTCTGTTGCCACGGTGACGTGATGTCAGGCTGTCTGAGGGTTCACAAACTAAAAACTTTAGTCCCAACATCATGACCGCCTCTGATTGGACATTCTCCCCGCTGGAAAACGCTTCTTCTCCCGATTCACGATCTCGGCAGCTCGATCTTTGTCGCGGTTTCCTGCTGAACGTTCTCGCACGCTGACCAATCAGCAACACCTAAACACTGATGCAGCATTGGAGCACGCCGCCGACCTCGCCGAGCTCTTGTCGTGTATCTGACACCAAACCCACTGAAAAACACCCCTCTGCTCCGATTGGTCAGCTGGTCAAAGTTTTACATTTTACGCCACATTTTAGAGCAAGTTGGGAGGAGGAGGCGGCGTAGCCTCGGCCTATCAGCTGATGGTACTCAGCACAAACAGCTGTGACGCAGAGTGCACAGACGTCATTACTCTGATCGCTCCTCACGCTTCACTTCCCATTTCATTCATCACTTAAACTCCAGAGCGCCGCCCCAAACCTTAAAACACAACTGACCGTCACACAGGCAGAAGACCCAGTCGGTCCTTTTTTAATATTCTGATGATCTCCCACAGCAGCTCCAGCTGTTAATTCTGTCCAACTACCGCTGAGACTGTAAAAGAATACCAGCGCCTAATCCACCTGAGGACTCTGAAACAAGCCTGCAGTATCCTCACAGCCCACCGGGGGGGAACTAAACCCTGTGTCCGATCACAGCGCTGTTTAAAGACTGCTTACCTGCGTCATGCGAGGCAAGCGCGCGCAGCATCTTCCCGGCGCTTCGCCTCGTCTGAGTCTCCTTGTTGCACAGCAGCTCCATCAGCAGGTTGAGCGCGCCCGTCTCCTTAAAGACACCGACAAGCGAGCCAATGCTGGCGTAGGCGCTCAACACGTGGATGGTGTGCATGATGTTGATGGAGAAGTCGCTCTTCTTGGCCATCTGCTTCCGGGCTCGGCACACCAGGTTCTTCACGTCTTCCTTCATGTCCGACAGCTCCACCTCGTCAAAGGTGACGTCGGACGGGAACTCTGTGCCGCTTGAAATGCCCGAGTCGGAAGCCTCGCCGCCACGCTGCTTCTCCTGCTGCAGGGGACGCTGGGAGTCCATCTTCCTCTTGCCCAGCAGTGTGGGACAGTTGGCGTACACGTCCTCTGTCGACATCCACATCAGGATGTTTTCCGGTTTGGTTTCTCCAGACACGGCGCTCACGGACCCGCCCACTCCGGAGCTGACGCCGACCGTCCCGCCCGCTTCGCTGGCACCGCCTCCAGAGGTGGAGCCATCGTCGATGGCGACGAGGCACCAGCGAATCAGGTATTCCGTCTGCCCGTCGTGGGTGCGTCGCTGGCGAATCAGCTCCTCGGGATACGCCTGCAGTTTCGGGCCGAGCTGGACCAGCAGGTTCCCATTGCGGCGTTCGCCAACCATGGTCACTGATGGGAGGAGCCAGAAAAGGAGAAGTGGTTATTCAAAGAAAAGAAGGTCGCTTATTCATGTTTCAGTAAACTTACTTTACTGCATTCTGATGTCAAGACGTTCTAAAATGACCAAAAAAGGGACTGGACTTTGGCTTGAGGAAAGTGGCAACCAACAATCTCCAAACCAAACTCCAGTCAGAAATCTGCAGATTTTATAATCGTTATTCTTTCGGGTCCTCTCTTTAAAACAATTACTCTGACTGAACATGTGTGTGAAGGAGAAGGACTTCTGAAATGAAAGTGAAAGAGTAAAATATGCAGGCCCAAAGAGAAATGCCTCAAATTTTAACTGTACTTTTGTGGCGGGAATAAAGTCATGCAAGACCACACCGAGTTTGATTGTATTCTAAAATGATCAAAAATGTAACTGGAGTTTGGTGTCAGAGTTAAAACAGTGTACAACCAGCAGGTCTTCTATGACTTCTCATATAAAGAAACTAAAATTAACCAGAATCCGACTAAAGTTTCATCAGGAGGCCACGAGAAAATGACATCACCTGAAGTATAACTCCGTTTTTGTTGAGAAAGAGGAAAAAAAAAGAAAAGTTGATCAACCCAAAGAAAATCGTGAAAATAACTAAAGGGACCAGAAAGTGAATGGAGCTGTGGCATAACGACAAGTAATACATGTGACTGTAGTGTGATGTCAGCGGTCACATCTGCACATTTCTCACTGGATTCTGAAGAATGTGCAGAAATCAAACTCACTGGACTTTGGTGATGGGGTGAACTCTGCAGATGTGACTGGAGCTGGGTATAGAGAAGATCACTCTAAGAGGATCACAACTCCGAGTGGATGTTGGTGTGAAATAAAACGGATGTGACGCTAGTTTGATGTCAGGGCAAAATTTGTGGATTTCTGACAGGAGTTCGGTGGAAGCACAAAGTCGGCTGGTTTCCAGCTGCGTTTCGGCCCTGGGACGATCCCAGTGCGTCTCCCCGCTGTCAGCTGAGCGTGCGCTCCAACGGCTGCTAGCTTCATCGGGCTACGTCTAAAACTTGGGTAAGAAGGGGACTAATTTCTGGAGCCACCCGTGCTCGCCGCTGCCCTGCCTTTAGCGCAGTGTCATTAATGAAGTCAAAGTGACTTTTCATTGCATTAGCTCACTGACAGTCCTGTAGATTCAGGAATTAGCCGGGCACTTGATTTTGTTTTTAATCTGAACGCAACAAGCTAACACGGCTGCTAAGGCTAGTTTGCTGCCGCAGTTAGTTTCACCTTTAACCGCAAAAATCTGCGCTTTGTGCGCACTTTGTCAAAGCTGCGGTACGCTTTGTTGGTTAACCTGCCAGCTAACTACCCATCACACCTAACCAGCTAACTTTTACTCATGGTGAGCCATTTGGACGAGCACTCAAAATGTCACACCAAAGTCCGTGTAAAAAAAGCTCGATTTAACCTTAAACCGCCCGCTGATCAAACTCACTCACTCTCTTTTGCTCTATATAATATTCTAGTAAATTCGGCGCCTCCAACTTCCCGTTTTTAAACACAAGTTATAATGAAGTCTACATCCAGTCTGCCGCTCTGCATCATCGTCACCTCAGACATACTTCAGAGGACGAGCCAACAGTTCCCGACTGAGCCCTGGTGGCGATAGCGTGCCGTATCAGAGTGCCGAACCGAAGCTCGCCACCGACAAGCTCGCCACACGTCTCAGACACGGACGGGACTGCGCGTGTTTCTGCTCTCCGAAGAGCGTTTGTTCTGAATTAGCAGTTTTCTGAATGGAGTTTGGTGCGCCGCTCTCAGGGCGGCTCAGGGTGGGCTATGTGGATGTGAACGGAGGGCCTCCGGCAGGAAAGCGGTTCCGCGGGCATCCACGGCCCGGCCCGTAGGACCAGCCGAGTGTCAGGTAAGTCCGGCTTACCTACTGCGTCACAGGCCTTCCCCCCGCTCTGAGTGCCCCCCCTGGAGCGCTGTTTTCGCTTCCTTCCTAAGGTTTCGTTTCTTAGCCCGCCGGTGTGGCTCTGCTCGCTCTCAGCCAGAGCTCCGCACTCCTGGATGCGCATTTGCGCACTGTGACAGGAACAGCGTCACTAACGGCCTCTTCTTGGACGCACGCGCCGACACTTTTCTTCTTCGCTGGGTTCAAAACTACGATTAAATGAGCAGCGCGCACCCCGCTGGACGGCAGTGAGACATCAGCCCAACGAGTCCAACAGGGAAGGCGAAAACATCAGAGAGGTCTGTGTAGGTGTAACTAACAGGTGCAACAAATAGGTAAGTGTAACAGACAGGTGTAAGTAACAGTGTAACCGCAGAGGGTCAGGTACAGGTGAGATATATTAAGTTAAGGACTCAGTGTGACATGGAGGAAGGGCCTGGCTAACCCTTGCACATTAATATTATTATTGCTGTTTGGAGAGGAAAGCTCCAAAACCAAAGTGTTCTGTTTTCTGAGTTACAGACATGGCAGTAACTCCTCCTGTCCCGGGGTCCTCCTCCGATGTACGAGTATCCCATTTCACACTGATTGAAGATTAAATATCAGTTTTTAATTTCTTGTATTTTCTTCATTTTTCACTACCTGATGCTTTCCCCTCAGTCTGCAGGGAGGAGCGCCTGGAGGCTCACAGGTGTATGTGCTGCAGTAAAGCGTCCACAGCTGCAGGGGGTGCTGACGTTTAATCTGTGAACTGCAGCAGGAACTGACCGAAGAATGAAAACAGGAAAGGAAGTTTGAAGTCAGCTGGAAATTTGGTTGTAAAGAATTTTGAGTGGTGAAGATAAAAATGAGTAAATTCAAGACAAAATCAGATTTTCATTTTGTTTCCAACATTCAGACCTCAGCGTGAGGGTGTGACTGTGGGCCCTGAGTGTGGTCTGACATGAGGTGTGCTGCATCTTTTTCTTTTTTTTTTTGCATCTGTTAGATCTGCCCTGGACCTGTGAGGTGGATGAAGCTGTGCAGGTCTCCAGTGAGCGTGAAGGTGATGCAGCATTTTTCATTTGTGCTGATTTATGTTTCCCTCTGCAGGAGTGACCTGATGTTGTGATGTGTGGATCACTGAAGGCACTTTTACCTTTAAGCTGCTTCAGCACTTCCCTTTTGTGCAGCTCATATTCAACATGAGGACAAATCTTACACAGTAAAACACACAAAAACACTCCTGCTTGCTTTAAAAAAAAAGGTGGTGTGGGTGGAGCGGGATAACAGGGAATGAGGACTCCATCATTGCGTACAGCGCGCCCTACATCCTGTTTCGTTTCGGTTACTATCCATGAATTTAGTTTGGAGCTTATTCTTCTGCTTTGACAAGTTCTTCTCACTCAGATGTTTGACGTTTTTTTCCTCAGCCTCCTCCAAAATTCTCTGCTTCATCCTGATCTCCCCTCTGTCACCTCCTCCCTCCTGAGGTGTGGTCTGTTCCTGGACTCTCTGAAAGCAGCTGTGCTTGAGTCCCTGTTCAGAATAATCCTTCTTTACCTGACACCGGCCTCTCTGCAGTTCATCCTCTGTCTGAAGCGAGATATTTAACTCCTCCCCATTTTCCACACAGCTTACCTCTGATTGGCTACCCCACACAAACAGCAGTTGGGCGGGGTTTCAGCAGGTCCCAAGAGTTCAAATCCAACCCAAGATCTATAACACCAACGTTAATGAATTAACAACTGCGTGGAAACCTGACTCCGTCCCCAGTGCTTCCACTGGAGGTACGGGGCTCGGCAGCAGCAGCTGATCAGCTGCATCGATGACCTGATCCGATGCATTGGTGACCTGATTGGCTGCATTGATGACCTGATCCAATGCACTGATGACCAGATCAGATGCATCAATGACCTGATCCGATGCACAGATGTTTGTCCATGATGCACAAAAGCAAACCGCTCAGACGAGCTGTGAGCTCCTCGTCTACAGTGATGTGACACACTGATGAAATCAAACCATCACTCATACCAGGTTTAATGGGACCTGATGAAGTTTTAGTGGGTGTACTCTGTCTGAAAAGTGTTTATGACAGAAAGTGTGGTTCATTTTAAAATGTCCTGTTTCCATGACGCCTGATGGAATATCTCACCCTGACATTCTCTCTCTTGACTCTTCCCTCGTTTATATTTTGTTTAGTCTCTACAAGATTGTTTCTGCATGAAAAGCAGCAGGTGGAGTTGAGACATCTAAAGCTACGTTCACACTGCAGGCGAAAGTGCATCAAATCCGTCTTTTTTGACCCTATGCGACCCATATCCGATCATGGTCTAACAGTGTGAATGGCACAAATCCGATCTGGGTCACTTTCGTATGTGGTCCTGAATCCGATACATATCCGATGTTTTAGAAAGCGACTGCTGTTTGATGGTCATGTCGCACTAAATCCGTCTTTTACGTCACTGACACAAGACGGACGCCAATTATCAGCGCTGGAGAAGCGCCCGAGATTCCTGGCCATCCAGTATAGATGTTAGTGAGACTGTTGGGAAGACAACGTTGGAGAAACGTGAACATTTTATTTGTACTGTATAATCTGCAGCTATCCTTTGAAGCACCGCTCCTCTAAAACAGCAATAAGGATCATTATTAGGCCAAATGTAGATAACAAAATAACTTTATGACTTAAAGCAAAATTGGGAAACGTAAAGTCCGAAACAAGACTTTATATGAAGGCCATCAGTCAAAGAATACTGTTGCTCTGGGTCTAAACAGAGCGCTTTGTGTGTGACGTCTTCGTTTGCGCATGCAGCCGCTTTGAGGGTTCACACTAGAGAGTGTTTGCTGTCGCATTTTATTTGTAGACAAAAAAATCGGATTTGAGCTTTAAGACCTGCAGTGTGAATGTAGCCATAGTTAGAATCGTAGGGTTGGCTTCCCTGACGACCAAAAAGATATCCAAGCACCCCGGATGTTCCCATTCCAGTCCAGAAGCCTCCTCCTGTTCCAGGAGCTGCCTGGCCTCCTGGGTACTGGTGCCTGTGAGTGTAATCACTGTGGAACATGCATGAACTGAGTGTGAAGGAGATCTGGAACAGATTCGGTTTGTAATATTAGAACATCAGGATGATGTCTCCCAGCTAAAAACAAAAGGAGATGTCAAAAATTCAACATTAATTGAATTTCTGAATTTTTTGAGAAATTCGTGGATGCAGATCAGGATCAACTCCAAACTAAAACCAGTTCTAAGTCCGAGCAAATATCTTCAAATGTTCTTTAGATCGTTGAGAAAGATGTCCCACGGGAGAGGCGGAGCCTGCGATTGGTCAGCAGGTCTGACTTCAGGAGTCCAAACCTGGACGTTTTCAAGGACGATTTATTCGATTCGTCATGTTTGATGTGAGGGGCTTTAGGACCCTGTGGAAGAAGTCTCTGCTGACACACACCTCCTCTGTATTCAGCGCACATGCCTCTTCTCTCCTCCACCTCCTCTCCACCTCCTCTCTGCAGGAGAATCATTCTCGGAGCAGACGGACACCTGCCTGCCCGCCTGCCTCTCTCCTCTTACGGCTTTTTTGGAAATAAGGAGCTTCGCATCGGGAACCCGCCGCCTCTCAGCCCGCTCAGAGCGCACCCAACGCGGCTGCGGGACGGCCGCGGGGGTCGCTGTCACGCCTGGATGCGCAGATGGATGGACGATGAATGGATGGACGGCTCTCGTGTCTCACCTTGGGAGGTGAGTATGTGCGCGTGTTTGTGTGTGTGCGCGTGTGGCTATCACCGTGCTGACGTCAGAGCCGGTGAGTGTCGGTATTCGGGTTTACGATGAGGGTTTTTCTGTAAACATCCGTGCACGTGCGTGTGCGCGCTGTCCATGCACGTGCGCCTGTCGGTGGTGTGGGCGCAGCTTTGAAGATGAGCTTTATTATTAATGTGCTGTGGATTATTTGATGTGAGCCGCAGCTCACAGAGTCACAAATACCCCAAAAACGTCAGGAACACCTCCAACACCACAGCCAAGGAAGCACCACAATATCTGAAGGCTGTAGGGAGGGAGGGCCGAGGCACAAAATCCTTTATTAGAGCTCTAATATACCAGGTGCTTCAGGTGTTTAAGGTTTCACACACGCTGCTGACGCCAGATATTCCAAACAGACCATCATCTGGTCCCAATATGAAGCAGCAAACACAGCAGTGCAGAAATGTCCCCGTATGTCAGATTGTCCTCCTGCTGATGGTTTCCTGCCAAAACATAAAAGGACCTCAGGTGTTTATCAAGGCATCTCATCGGATGCAGGATGCAGCTCAGCAGGTGAATCCTCTGACACACACACCACGTTTGCAAACACACGTCACACGGGTGCATGTGTCCGTGCTGTGAGGACAGCAGGACAGGCCTCTTCGTGCTTTTTCCTGGATCGGTTTCACAGAGATCCCTTCATACCCCGCCCACTACCTGTTTGACCCACCACCCTCTGCACCACGCTTTGGGTCAGTCAGGTCCCACACCTCCAGGCTCCCCTGGGCCATTCGGACTGTTACCCTGCCCACTCGCCACACCAATCTGAGCCATGTTCTCAGCGACCGTCACACACGGACCAGCGCCTTTCGTTGCACTTCCTGCGTTGTTCTCCAGTGTGTGCCTCTATCTCATTTTGTATTTATTCCTGCTGTCACAGTTGGTGTGGAACACCAGTACAATGACATCAATGGGCTTTTCTATTCTATCTTCTCTTTTTCTATTTTCCAGCAAAGTTCAGTATGCAATGCCTGACCCTTGACCTCTGACCTCTCTGAGAGACCCCTTGAGGAGGAAACGAGTTCTGAGGAGAGATGGAAGGTGGAGGAAACAAGGAGAGCCGAGGAGAAGAGCCTGAAACCTCCTCCGGGCTTGGGAGAGTCTCACGGAGAGGAGGAGGAGAAGCCTGCAGACAAAATGGCCTGATCAACACGCACAGGCTGGGGGCGGAGCCTCGGGAGGTGCTACTGTCAGTGTACTCTGCTCCTCAGTATCAGGGTCACGTGGTGGTGAGCACCTCCCCTCAGCAGGAGCACAGCAGGGGTCCTCCCCAGCTTCTGAACCCCAGCACTCTCCTGCCCCAGCATGGGGTGCCAGACCCTCGCCTCAGGCCGGCCCCCGGCCTCTTCCTGTGCCCGGAGAGTGTCCTGCGGGCCTGGGGGGAGGCCGGGGGAGGCGACTGCTGTGAGACCACCTTCATAGAGGGACTTGGACCAGAAGCCTCCTCTTCTTCTGCTGCCGCCGTCTCCACAAAGGAGGTGCTGCTGTTTGCTGATGGGAAGTATCTGGAGTTTTCTGGTGAGGAGGCAAAGATTCACACACTGTCCTATGACATCGACGACGATGACGACTTCCAGGAGCTCGAGGTAAATAAGCTCTTTTCACCTCATGTTCACACACTCACACTCTGATGATGAGTTGGGGAAAACTCTGGCTTCAGAACCCCAAATCCAAGCACCGACCTTCTGATTGGTGGATGACCCACTCTGCCTCCTGAGCCTGAGGTGAGGGCAGAGGTCTGAAGAACGAGTGCCGGGACTCTTTTTCTAGTTCTGATTGAAAAGTGTCATCGACACATATTCACTGAGGGAAAACAGGCACTGCAGTTCCTCTCATGTCCACTAGATGCTGCTGTGAAACGTCTCTGCGGTAGTCAAAACGGGCTTCCTCGTGGGTGCTACCACACCAAGGAAGCATTGCTGAAACACCAATGTTTTTGCCATTTAAAGTCATTGCTATGACAACAACAACCGCATCACAGTGGAACAATGTTAACAAAGTTCCCACATTGATTAGTGGTCCAGTCAGATCTTCTCTAACAGAGGAAGAACCAGACATGAGAGCCACTGTGAGTCAGCTCGTGAGGCTTGGTTTGGTGATCAGTGAGCTCACCACGATGGAGGTCAGGGCATCAAATCGAAATATATATAAAATAGCGTTTGAACACAAGCCTGTCTGTGTTGTAGTAGGTGACATTCATGAAGCACATCCAGCAGAGTTTGGAAATCAGCTGATATCTGCTTTCATCAGAGACATCAAGAAAGTCAAGATTTAAAGTGTCTGCGGTGTTACTGTTATAGCTGAGCTCTGAAGGAGCTTTTGTGGCTGCCGGCTCATCGTCTTGGCTTAGTGATTTCTGGTCATCATCAGTCACTCACAGATAGGGATGGGTATCGTTTAGGTTTTATCCGATACCGGTGCCAAATCGGTACTTTTGAAACGGTGCCGGTGCTCAAACGGTGCTCAAACCGGTGCTTAAAGAATGGAGAACACAAAATTGGTCCAAAAACCTCTCATGTTTAACTGTTTCCCACTTTTTCTTTGGTCATTTTAGCCTTTTTGTCCAGGGTGAAGGGAGTATCTGCCATCAAACAAGAAGACAGCCGCATGTAGCTATGATGATGTTTGCTAGTTCACCTTACATGCATTAATGTAATAACGTGGTTAGCCTACTCAACGTAAATTACACAAGAACAACATTAAGCTACTCACGCAGAGAAGAACGGCTGCTGCTGCCATCAAATACGGCGCATTTCTGGGCTTTTAAAAAAAACGCTATGCGTCGCCAGGTGTTTCATCGGATTCTTGGTGTTACCTCCTTTGACAGTATCACAGTATCAGCTTAAAGCACTTGTTGCTGCTGAGTTTGCATCTTTTGCTGTGAAGTACAGCCAGACTTTTGATCGCTTCGCCTTGGACATTTTTAATCTGTAGCTCTGCTCTAACAGAACGTACGTACCTGGCCCCGCCTACTATCCTCGGAAACGTAAAATGATTGGCTAAAAGTGTATCACAGCTCAGGAAAAAAAAGCACCGAAATAAAGCACCGAAATGTGCGCTGCTTTTCGGTCTGGTTACTACCGTTTATGTCAGAACCGGTGCCATCATGGCACCGGACACCGGTACCCATCCCTACTCACAGATGCTCTAAAGTTTTTCAAGCATTGCAGATGTTCTGACTACTTCAGACCTCCTGGGCAACAGCTCATTGCTCCCCTTTGGGTATAAACTTACATTTTTACTATTGTGACTGTGAGCTGTGGCATCCAAGGGGCAGAAACAGCTTCCTCTGGGCTCTTTAGAGATCAGGTGAGGAACCTGCACTTTGAGGGATCTCAGAATGAAGGAGGTGTTTCAGATCAGATCTGATCAGGCTCAGGGTTCCTCCTGGATGCTTCTCTTTGGAAATGTTTTAGCCATGCCCAGAAATATGGAGGACGACAAGAGCCACGCGCATCAAAATAAAAAATTCTGTGCTTAATTAATGAATTGTAGAATAAAATCTGCATTTGTAAATTCATTTTTGAATTCAAATTTTATAAACTGCATTTCAAAATCCATTTCCCTTTCCTGTTTGCTCAGGGATTAACATGTGGATTAGCAGTTGGATTAACAACTTCATTTTAAAAATCCTGCTGCTATTCAAATTAGCCACACCGTGGGATGTAAGGAGCTCTCTGATTGGTTGGTCAGACATAGGCTGTCTGCCAGCCTGGATTTTTCTAGCTATGAGCTAGAAAAATCCAGGCTGGCCCTGAGTTAATCCCTGAGCGAACAGGAAAGGGAAATGGATTTTGAAATGCAGTTTATAAAATTTGAATTCAAAAATGAATTTACAAATGCAGATTTTATTCTACAATTCATTAATTAAGCACAGAATGTTTTATTTCGATGCGCGGGGCTCTTGTGGTCCTCCATACAGAAACCCCACCGGATCCATCCAGAACTAGATGGAACGATCATAGTCTAAGGATGTTGAAAAGAAAAGGGACCGGGCTTCTTTCAGTTACTTCAAGCTCCTGAGATTACCATGACCTGGACGACTGAGAACATACAGACACATGGAAACGTTAGACGTTCTGTCTGACCTGGGAACACCTCTGGATAACAGGAAGTGAAGCTAGTAAAGAAACATCTGGATCTGATTTTTGAACAGGGCGGGTGGGAGGATGGATGGAAGGATGAATTGAAGGCTAGAGGGAATTACAGACAGACAGGTGGATGGATGGACGGTTGGAAGTCCGTCCATTGGTCCGTGCTGGGAGTCAGAGTGCTTCCTGCAGAATGAGATTAGCACTCAGAGCTGCAGCTCTCTGAGCGACACGTTTGACCTCCTAACAGCCAATCGCATTAAAGACGATTAGCTGAGATTTTGTCTCACTGAAGTCCAGCGTTAATCTACTCTGCAGCTCTGATGGGTGAGTGTGTGTGTGAGTGTGTGTGTGTGTGTGTGTGTG